TAACTTTATTAAGGCATTTCATTTCTTAATACTTTAAAAATTTCCTGAATTATCTGCAGTGTCTCTCTCATCTCTGAACAAAATCAGTCACTGATCAGTCACCAGAACCACAACTCACATCCACATCTGTATTACTTCCTCAGTGACCTTTTCTTAACTCATAAATAACATTACATATGAGGCAATGCTGTGAATGAAATGTGAAGTCACCCGTTAACTTAGCAGTTTCTATATCATCCTTGTTCTTTTTGCCCAGCTTCATACAGGTCCATGTGTGCATGGATAGACATGCAGAACTTAAAAACCTCATGTTGCACAGTTTTTCAGAAATACTTGTTATTAATTCAGCTTTTTCTGTTGAGAAAGACTGCAGTTTGCTTGAAAGATAAGTCATGCTGCTGCTAAACTGTTGTTTTTTAATATAGTATAAAGACCTCTAGAGTCCTGATAGTGCTTTTAGTTACTCCACAGGAGCAGAAAGCCTTATCAATTATAAACATGTGAATTAATTTTTAAAACAGGTCTAAAAATGCCTAGCCCTAAGGAATTGATGGACTGGAGCAACAGAACCTAGCAAGGACACACATTAATTGGTAAGTGAAAACGCAGGGTTTATCCCTGAAATGAGCAAATCTCTATCCCCTCACTCTAGCCCTAAGGCCCTAGTGCTCCAATGACTTTTGCAAGTGTAACTTTTGGAAATGTTGCCCTGCGTTCCCATGAGGGTATTCAGTAACGACAAACTCCTGTGTGAATATAGCCCCCCCAGAGAAGGTATTTTGTAATACGCCATCATTATAAGAGCTCTCCCCAGAGGAAAGCTAAGAACGTCAACATCTCACCAAATAGTAACTGCTCGAGAAGTTGTTTGTGAGACAAAGTGAGCACTGGGCTTATTTTTTCACTGTTAACTCTGGTCTTGTTGGAACAGGTAAAGATCAAGATCTTTGACAGCAGGCTTCCAGTTATCTTATCCTGCTTTAAAGTACTTCCAGGGCTGCTAATCCCACTTGTTTGCTAACTACATCTTTTCCTCCAGAAATATATGAATAGTGATAAAAGTAGCTGAAAAGGAAATGCCTTGCTCCCAGCCGCTTCCCTGTTGGCTGTCACTTGCAGCAACAGCACTGGGTAAGGCTTACCACGTTGAAAACAAACATTGTTTTCATGAGATTACTCAGCTAGCGTGGCTGGAAACACTGTTCTTTAGCACGAGGCAACTGTCCTTGGGCAGTATTGCCACGACTGGTACGCTCGGATGTATTTAGTATGCGGCAAGCAAGGCTGAACCACCAAGACTGTAACCCTGTCAGCATTTACAGATGTGCTCTACGTGAAGTCAGAGATGACATTCTTGCGCTTTTAAAAATCTGATTATTCATCAAGATGAAGCTAAGCAACTTGTATGGTGAGCGGATAAGGTTCTTCCTTGTAATTCTCTTCAGATACAAAAGACTTGGTGGTATACAACCTCCTTGGCACGTAGCAAGTGGCCTCCTTTTACTGTACACGCTATTTCATGGAATGCTTCTCGATTCATGGCTGCACGTCAAAGCAGTAACTGTAGATCTTTTCTGTGCTTGAGATCTTTCCAGTTAAAATTACAATGGCCTTCCAACAGGCATTGACTGAAATTCAGTTTTTGGTATGAAGCAGCATTCTCTTCTGAGACCGACGTACCAGTTGCCTTTGGTGCAACGTACATGCCGCAGGGAAACACCATCTTGCTATTAGCAGGTCAGGCACACGCAAATTACACTCTTAGCTTCATTTCTGTATGCTGTAACTAGATGGGTCATTACAAGTTATTTGTTGGGTGTATAATTAGATCAGAGCATGTAGCTAAGAGGGGAACCACAGTGCTGATAAGAGGTGGCTTGAACTCTGCTTTCTCTGTGTCACTGCACGTCAGCCCTGCTTGCTGATGTCAAAAGGAAGCAGGGGACTGATGCAATCTGGCTAGATTTCTTAAGTACTTCTGAAAAACATCTCTGCATAACCTTGGCTCTAAATATAGTGGATAGATGAAAATATTACGTGGGAAGAAATAACAAAATGCTACATCATCGCTTACAGAAATGGGTCTCTGCGCATGAGAATATTAACCCAGAACTGCATTCCCCTGACTTCATCTGCCAAGGTAGAGGGACACTGGCAACAAGTGAGGAAACAATAGCAGCCCTTGAAGTTGGAGAATATGAAACAGTCCCGAGCACCTGGAAAGTCCTTCTAACTTGTCCGCATCTTTGACTATACCAAACTGGCATCTCTGAACACTGGTAAAAATCTCCTGCCCTCGAGAGCCAAGTGCTACTGAGTGTTACTGTGTGCCTGTAGTGCGGCCGTAATACCACCTGGCTGGGGATGCAAAGGGAACACAGGTGCACAGAAGCAAGATGAGAGCTGGCTGCTGCCAAGTCACAGCAAAGCTTGGCAACGCTGAAATGCCAAACCTGGGAAGAAATTCTTGGAGCTTTACAGTAAACTCACAGTTTTGTTCTCACATGAAGCTAGCCACAGAAGAGGAAATTTAGTGTCTTGCAGGCAAGTACGTATGGAGTCGAAGCTGGGGCAGAAGAAAAAAAGGCACCGGTCTGGAGCCAAATTAGAATGTTCAGTAAAGTCCTCCAATCTATGAAGCAGAAGGAAAGCAGTCTGAAAAGCATCTACTGTTGCACCTGGCAGGTGCATTAAACCTCATTTACTTCCATTCTACAAAGGGAAACACAGTCACTATTTGAAGATTGGCATACTGGATTGCTTTTGCCTCTAGCTGCGCACACAAAAATCAATTCAAGCGTGGAAATGAACCTGAGTATGGGAAAGCCAGCCAATACTGTCAGCACAGAATAGATGATGCAGCAGTGGCAATCATGTAACTTCTTCCAGAGATAAGATGTTTATGAAAAAATGTCATTTCCTATTTCAGGAAAGGGAAGTTCGACTGCAGAAAGACTGGGTGAACTTCCCAGCTCTCATTTATATATTCACGCATTCGTAAAGTTCCAGAAACACTTTATTTAAAAATGGAGTTGTAAATGCATATAACAAAATAACATACATAATAACTGTAACAAAAATAAATAAGGAGAACATGTTCATACAAAATAAGAACATAGTAATGCAAAATGCTTATTACAGAACGTAAAGGTATAAACGCCTGAAAGAACACAAACAGAATCTCGCATGAAGAGCCTGCACCTTTAATCCTTCCTAGCCATTTCCTGCTTTCCACTCGAGTCTGTGGAAAAATTATGTTCCCAGGCATTAAACAAAAGAAGGAATTATGGTGATGGTTTGGTACACTCGTTTTTCAACACCTAGCTCTAGTTTCAATTTATTTTTGCCCTTCTGCACCTTCTAAAACTTTTCTTGTAGCCTCTGTAAACTCGTGTAGTTCAGGCTTCCACAGTTAGCTGGAGCAGCGCATATTGAGTCATACATGAAGGCTGTCTGCTTTTAATTTTTTTTTTTAAAGAAAATATGAAATCCATTATACAACAGATTAGTGGTTTTGTTTTTACATCTCTACAAAAAAAGTTTTTGCATTTTTATTAACTGGTCCAACTCTTACTGACTTCTGAAAGCCTGTACAATTTAAAAGTGTACAGAAAGTAGTTTTTTTTTAAACAAATGTCATATAGGATTATTGCTGAAATATTAAAGACCATTTCATAAAAGCTGCAAAACTGTATCTTTAACCTTAATATATAGAGACTGATGCAAACATAGGAAAATTCCAGTCTATTAGTTACATTTAACAGAAATATAACATTCCTCCACGTTACAGTGTTCTGGAAATACAAAGTAATTCACTTTTATTTTTACTACTATTTCCAAATGTTAAGTTACTGGGACAACTTATAAGGAAAATAGGCTTATATAGGAAACTTTAAATAGACTTGCTTTTCAGTGGTATAAGCAAAATGTCTACTTTAGCAGTCATCTTCCAGAATCCTTTTAAATATGTAAGACAGAGACAGCTTTACTAGCAAGACTACAGGAAAATATACAGAAGCAAATAAAATAATTTGCTTGGGAGTGCATCTATTGATCAAGCAAATTATGACAACTCTATTTCCAAGTCCCCTAAAGAAAATTTTACATCTCATGATCATTCCAAGAAACAGTAACTTCTTCCATCAGCTTATGTTGCATTTGAATTGGTGAGAGCCCATTTGCCTTAATATGCTTTAAAATGTCCCACATTGCTGTATGCTTAAATTTGTTTCCTAGTTTCAACAAACATTTGGACAGAAATGAGATATGAAATACTTCTACTTTCATTAACATCAAAAAGACATTTGAAGAAGATCAAAAAGTGCCAAATAGTCCCTTCAGAAAGTGGATTAAAACACTGCAATGATAATACAAGTACAGTATTATCAGTTTTCTATGTACACCGAAACACTGCCTGCTGTTTAATGATATTTGATATGTTCACCTTTCACTCCCAGCAAATCTTAGTGCAAACATAATATGTGAATTTTGTAAACCCCAAGACAATTTATGCAGCAACTAGGTTATAGAAATCCCAGAACTGTTTGAGATTTTCAGTACACAAGAATGAATGCTTTCTGAAATCTGTCTTACCTTTTGCAGTAATGTGTCATTGTAGCCAAAGATAATGTTTCCTATATAAATCATCTAATTCAGAATCAAATTAACTGTTCAACAGTTCTGTACAAACTTTAGCGGAGGAAGTCCATTCATTAGAGCAGTTTGGCAAAGAGATTTGGGTTTTCAATAACATTAAATGTTAGACTGCTTGCATGGCTTTTAAAAAGAAATAAATCTATTAAGGGAAAACTGCTGATATAATAATTCTTTTGCAAAGCACACAACCACAAAGGGCAAACCTGCCACAATCTGCTTTCCTACACTGGTATCTATGCATATCTTTATGATTTGAAAAGGATTTGTGTGACAATCAAAGCATCACAGTTAAAGAAAACTGCTTTAATAAAACAACTGCTGTTTGACCAAGCCTTTCTTTTTTAAATTATAAAACCAATATTATATTTTTTTCTTTATTCCTAAACATTCCACATGAAAGGTTTTTGTATTAACACTGAGATGTCACTCACGCAAGGTGGCATCTTCCTCTTCCCCATCTGGGTTAAACCTATTGAAATGTATGCTGAAATCTGACTCAGATTCAGCATTCTCAAATTCAGCTGCAACAGGGACGGCGGCAGGTCGAAGAGCCCGGGCTTCGGGCTGGCAGGTGGGCTGCACTTGAGGGTGGGTACTTTGGGAAACGGGACTGGACTTCGGCTTCGGCTGAGCTGGTAAGATGGGGCTGGCAAATCCCAAGTTGCTCAGAGCATCCAGGGTACCGTCAGGGTCGATCATAGCATTAATTGCTAAGCAATCAAGAAAAGATGAAAGGGATAGGGAAGAAACCATAAAAAATACAATTTTCTGTTACCATAAAAAGTACGAAAATCCTGGTTTAACACTTTTATTTTTATGATGACAGACATGAGCTTTTACGTGTGTTGCTCACTACAAAGGAGTGGTGTATCCAACATTTATGTAGCTGCTACATATATTTAAAAGCATTTACGTGTACCAAAAGTTTAGAGGAAATGAAACTGCACAAACTAAACACTGCCTGATGGACAGGAGAGATGACGAACAGTCTATGATTAGCTTATAGGGACCAAAAGATGGGATTTTTAGTCATGTTTAAGGGTCTTTTTCTCTAATATTAGCATTCTATTATGCTTCGTTCCACCCCACCCTGCCCCAAATATCCATAGCTGCTACTTCCATGATTGAATGAATTTTATATAAAAGATCAATCAGTTATCCTTTTTAATACATAAGCGATGGACTTATTGTCCCTCTCCCTCCCCATAGTGAGGGCACACTGAAGCACCAAGTACAATTTCATTTTACCGTACTATTAACTGTACTAACATCTATTTGAACACCACTGTGTACACAAGCGAATGATTTGGCCTCTTTCTCTGGGCCTTATTTCTTTGTTATGTTCTCTAACCACAATATAATTTGTAATAAAACAAGTTTTTATTACATTTATTACCAATAATTTTTAACTATAGCTGAGCATGAAACAAATACTAATTTGTCTCTAGAGGTGTCTAATGATTCATCCCGAAACATTCTTTTAAAAAACATTTTATTGTAGGATTAAATTTGAATACTAAAAATAACAAATATAGGAAATTTACAACAAATACAATAACGATCGTGTATAGGCATGGACGACTAATCCATTTGACCATACCAAATTAAACAATAAACTAAGTATAAACAATACACAAACAAGACTGCAACTTCTTTTAAAAATATACTCAATTTTTAAGTTGATTTTGATAAACAGAATGTATGTCTAAATAGCAGACTCTGTAAGCACAACATACAGTTACAAAGAGTGGATTCAGTAGTGTGAAGGGAAAATGTCAAGAGCTCATCCTAAATTTTCATTTTATTGTATCAGATGAAGTTGGTTTTTTTGAGATTTCCTATAGATTATGGTCCCAGTGCATTCCTTATACTGAACTGTGCTACACGTGAGGGTATTACTGATGTGCAAGGACTAGTTTATAAAGCCTTAACCTCAGGATTCTCTATCACCCACTCTTCAATATTTACCCACAGAAAATATTTCTGTTAAGAATATTTCGCAAATAATTCCTTTGGGATTCTCTGGACTATTCTACTTTTAGTTGAGCCTTTTCTTACCCATATAAAAAGGTATCATCAATCTTCTGTTTTAAAATAATTCAGTGATGCTTCTTTGCCAAATGTGCCAGCAATTATATGATATTAATGTACGTAACTGATACTGTGAATATATTTTAATAAAATGTGGTAACTTTTTGTGATATATATATCCCTATTTAAAAAAATTTAAACAAGCAACAATGAAAGAGAAAAGTGAAAAAAGATTTGTACCTTGCAGCTGTTTCTCAACTCGTTTCAGCTCCTGTAAGATTGATGATATTTCCTGGGAAAGAAACAAACGTGTTTGAAAAATGTATGGAAAAAACGAGACTGAAACTACCTAGCAGTAGTAAACAATCGCTCTCCCCAGCCTTTGCAATATGCTATTTGGGTTGTCCCTCCTGGCATCAAGAACCCCCTCCCTTGCTGGTGGTGGCCCAGCAATGTCCCCCACAGGTCCCAGGCAGGGGTGCTTGAGGCTGGACAGCCATGGCCCACTCAGAAATCATGAGCTCCTCTGCATTGGCTGATTGCTAGGATCAACAAAACCTCACTCTGTCCCTTGCTCATCTGCCTGCACTACTTCTCAAGCACAGATGTCATGGTTCTGTAGAAATGGGGGGAAGTAACAGTATGAACACAGTATTAATGGAACAGGGTGATTTATAATCTTCTTCAGACGTGAGTCAGAACAGTAAGATGACTGCCTTGGGATTTTGCAACCACCGGACCTGGTGCCCACGAGACCCTGCACACCAGTGTTGGGTCCTCAGCACTCTTGCCTTACAGATTTTTCTCCTCTGTGCTGCACTACTTGCTAACACAGATGTAGCCACAGCAACGCACTCAGAAGCACGACAATAAATGTACCATATCTTAAATTATAAATATGTAAATCCTACAATTGAAAGATCCAACACTGAAGGGTACTGTTAATCCAGCTACTGAGGAGAGCTACCAGTGGTCTTCAAAAGCTGAGAATTTTCAAAGGCACTGATTTCAGAAACCCATTTAACCCATTTCAGAAACCCATTCTGTACTAAGTAATGTGATTTTTGTGGGTAGCAAAGAGATTGATTCCCTTGGATTTTACAAAGTGATTATCTTTAAGCAGACTGCACATCTGAGCTGGACATAAATGTCCCAAGGACAAAACAAACATTGGCTACAATTGTCCTCTGTTAATTTTAATAACATTCTGTGATAAAAATAAGCACTGCTTTAGTACTGGATTTGAACAATATATTGCTCTGAAAACTGAGCAGAAACTTGAAAATCAGTGCATAGACAAAGAAAAACCCATACTTTCAAACAATGTGAGATGCTTTAATGCATTGAAAAAAAATTTTGTAAAATGCTGAACTTAGGAATATATATACAACTAATCTTTTGCCTTTTTAAAGAATGCCTTAAAACCACATATTCATAGCACTTAGAATATAAAAAGCCAAACTCTGATCTTATTCTGGAAATGGGTAGGATAAGAGAAACTCCTTATCGTATTTCTAAAATTAAGAACTTCCATGGGTAACTTGCTTAATTAAACTTCAAAAACCCAAAAACCTGTCAGTTTCTAATGATTGCTCTTAAAAAATATACCATTCTGCAGAAATGATGGGCCAACTTTTTAATACTTCCAGGAAAAATCAATTTGGATGAGTTTAATAACTTATAATGAGCCAAGAGAGAAGTGCTAGCCAGTTCAATGCCAGAGGAAATGTGTTGACATTTTGCTTCTGAGCAGTCCCGTACAAAGTATGTCAGAAGGAGTTTCTGCTCCCATCTTTCCATCAGAAAAGAAAACTGCCTCTGTAAGTTGACATCTTTAACAGCACGATACTCCAGACAGGATAATGTAACTAGACTCTCCACCCGTTCTCACATGCAGAGATGTTTTTCAAGCCCCATGCTCTGTGTGTAGAAGCAGAGGAGAAGTGTACTAGAAAGCCCTCATGCTGTCACACAGCGTGGTCACAAAATGGCCCTCATCAGGAAGGTGTAGAAGACTACATGAATCAACTAAAGTTGCAGTTGGTACCCAACGGTTATCACTTTCACACAAAATCAATGTGATTCTTTTTCATTGAAGAGTGCTTTAATTGCAATGTGCCTTGAGATTATTTTCATTCACATATAGCAAAATACAACTATTTATTCAAATATTAATAATCATTATTAATAGTACTAAGTATTTTATATCGAGTACTAATAACCAGTAGGTAAAATAGTCTTTTGATTGTAAAACAAGTTCATTCAAAAGCAATTCAACATTCGAACAAGTGGTTGTTACCTTTTGTTACACAAAAGTACTGATGGTCTACATATAGTTTGTATCCCTTTTATTGCATTCTTTTTCTGAGACTTTCCCCTGAACAATCACTTAAGACTCTTTCTTTATAAGATAGTAAGTCTTAGTAATTATTAAAAAAGATTAGGCTTATTCTTGAAATATACCAAATGTCCAAATAAATAATTTGAAAGTTTTTTGTCTTCCTATCATTGAAAATATCACATTCCTCCACTGATGATTTAGAAATTAGATAAGAGGCTCATTCAATCCAGAAAAGATAACTATTCATACCATGCTTGATGTTTTCACAATAGGAACTTCACTTTCAGCTCGCAACTTGTTTTCAATTTCATCCCAATTTCTGTCTTTGTCCTTAAATAATATTCTAGAAGAAAGAAATTCAAGAACAATATGTTTAAAATAGACAGAAATAAACAAACTAAAATTGAAAGATTAAATAAATGAGATGAGAAAGCAGCATAGGGAGCACTGAATAAAACTATAATCTGAAATATTGAAAACTGACAGAATCCAACCATAGAGTCTGAATTTTCAGATGAAAAATTCAGATTCCCCATTCTTAATGTTTTGCTTCCCTGCTGTGATAAATAATTTTTGTTTTCATTGTCATATCATAAAGATCATTTAAACTATCTACATTTGCACAACTGAAAAAAAATAAATGTATGGTATTTAAGGTCTGGGTATTCATTTTTTTTAAGTGACGCCATGATGACAGAGGAATCCAAATCCACTTCTCGTCTAATTGGTATTTCAGAGTACAAGAATAGCTGCAGTAAAACTGCTAAACAAACAAACCAACCAATTTAAAATTATGACCAAAAAGTAGTACATTTTAAAGAAGTTATTAGTGTAAGTTCGTCTCTGAGGAAATATTTTTTAAGGTAGAACTTCATGATAGCTTTTATCTCATAAAGACTAAGAATTTGAAAGAAAGATGGGAGAATTAGTACTGCGTTTCTGTTAATCTTTCTTCAGTTATTGATACCCTATGGAAAATCCCACTCTCTATTTATTATAATCCCCTCAAGAAAGTCTAGTTTGTCAAAATGTGTACCCTGTGTTATCTTATCAGTACACGGATGTCCATAGACAGCCCCTCCAGAAGCTGCTTTAACTCTTCCTCTGTCTTTGAGGTCTTCACTCGCTGCTGCTTCAGAACATGTTTTTGTCAGATGTTTCACTGCGAAAAGTGCTACTCTAATGACACAATGTCATGGGATTGAGGCAAATGACCACTCCCGCAAGTGACTTTAGTGTATTCATGTACAAAGCATACAAAGAGTAAACATTAATAGATACTTCTTCTTGGGGAAGGAAAAAATAAATTAAAAGTAATCAAAACTACAGTGAAGAAAACGTGAAGCACTTTATGGCCTTAAATAGTGTCATAAAGTTGATCATCAGAGATCTGACAAGATTGCTTTTATGTTCTGGAAGGGAGTGCAAAAGCTTGCGAAGCTGTACAACTGCAAACCTGGAAACCAGAAAGTCCAATTACAATGGAAAATTTAGGACTTGCCTGAAACTGGTGAGTTTAAATAAATAAATGAAAAACAGAGCCAATTAAATCCTTTATAGGATCTTACACTAAAAACCAGGCAACTCCTGGAAATATTTGGATTCAGTATACAGAGGATCTATATTTTCCATACTTTAGTAGCATTTATATCACTCTGGAAATCAGCAAAAAATAGAAAATAAGGCTTTATGTAGCAGTAAACAGCACTAGTAAGAAAAATATAGAAGTTACTATGACACTGTTTTTTTGATTTACCTTCTTATTCACGTTATATTAAAACACTTCTATTGTTATGTATGTGATTAATGCCTTCGCTTGTGTACGTGGTGTTTTCAGTCTTACTCTCTTTTAGAGATAACGTTCTTACTTCTCTTACAATTTGAAAGCTTTCCATTTCATAGGTCATTTTATTTAAAAAAAAAAAAAGGAAAAAATGAAAACAGTAATTTAAAAAATGTTATTATTTCCACTATAAACTGGACAGGCCAATTTGGTTTTGCTATAATTTTAGAAAGTCTATTTACTTTTTACAACATTTTTTTCAATTCTTCATTTAGTACATTTTAATATCCTGGGGGGGGTCTTCATCTCTCTCTCCTTTGCTCCTTCTCCTTCTAACCATACTCTGTACATTAAAAGACCATATTTATAAATGCTTGCCATCTTCTGCTCTTTCCTTTCCCTA